CATTTTATGCTCGTGTCAAAGAGCCTTCAAGTTTGATATGTAGACCTTTTATTCTCATGTCAAGTAGATCTTGATATGAAGACATTTTATGCTCGTGTCGAGGAGCCATATAGATAGTTCAGGCTCATAACAAGGAGCATATGTATATAGTTTAGGCTCATATCAAGGAGCATTTGAATGTGTAGATAGTTTAGGCTCATATCAAGGAGCATTTGAATATGTAGATAGTTTAGGCTCGTATCAAGGAGCATTTGAATTTGTAGATAGTTTAGGCTCATATCAAGGATCATTGTAGATAGTTTAAGCTCGTATCAAGGAGCATTTGAATATGTAGATAGTTTAGGCTCGTATCAAGGAGCATTTGAATATGTAGATAGTTTAGGCTCGTATCAAAGAGCATTTGAATATTTGATGGAGCTCTTCATGTGACTTGCCCCCATGCTTCATGGCTTGGGAAGAAATCATCTTCATTGCCGCAATGTATATTTTCTTCAAAGAGGTCTCCATGCATCTTCAAAGATCTTAGAACTTGATTTTGAGAGAAGAGATGAGAGGTAGAGAAAGTCCCACCGGGCGTGCCAAATTTGTAATAACAAATTTTATGGAAAACATAAAACTTTTGTACAACTTGATTTATTTCGATCAAATGATATTGCGGGTACAATCTCTACTTATCTCCTCTATTCTTCTCTTCATGGATTTGGGTTTGAGATCTTGAAAGATGAATTTGATGATTGAACCTCCTTCGGGCTTGGTCGTGAATTTATCTGACATTAATTTGGGGGTCGAGTGACTTATTCACGTATTAAATGTTAGGTCTTTACTTGAAGACAACTTCTTGGAGGACTTGTTTCTTTGATCTTCTGGAAAGAGGGACTTTGACTTGAATAACGTTGACTCGAGGGCTTGATAGCTTTTTCTCGAATCAAACGCTATGTTGGTTGAACTTCTCAATGAACGGGGCTTGAATGTTGCTTGAATGTCGTTGATATTCTTGGATTGACTTGAGAGGAGTGG